GTGCACAATGCATGATTATGTTTCTGATCAGACTTACTTATAACCCACTGATCGTTTGTATTTGTTGCTGTAACTACGACTCTAGCCTTACATCCTGTTCTTGTGACTGGCGTATGAGCACGTTGACGATCAACAGTATTGACTTTTGATACTCGAACCCTTCTTTGGAACAACAAAATTCTTGTGTCTTCACATTCCCTTCCACGTCAAGCCGTGTTGTTCCCTTACGTGCACTAAACCCATGTTCCCGTGCGAATCCCTTGTAAAAGTGCCAAGCTTGATCACGTGAACAGAAGAGCTGACCAACCAATCTGTCAGATTCATCAACATTATGTACTTCATGGCATTCCTCGGTTGGCTTAACATTGTCTACATCAGTATTATCCATGGCAAAAATTTTGTTGTGCAAGTTCAGTGCTCCAGGAGTTGATGGATATGTAAACGAAGGTTCATTTTGAACATGTTTCTGTAGTTAAAGGGTGGGTACAACATTAAATTCGCAGTACATATTTAGGTATGTAAAATAACTACAAGTATATTATCATTTTAAATTCGCAGTACACTGTTAAAAAATTGAAACATAAATTACATAAGTTTTAAAAAAAGTATCGATCCTTTTTATAAAAAGTATGGACACTTTCAATATAATAGGTAAACATATGATGTAATAGGTAGCCCTTATATAATGTAATAGGTATCGTTTATATAATGTAATAGGTAATGGTTATATTGTAAGTGTCTATCCTTTTTATAAAAGTGTCCATACTTTTTTCACTGTGGAAAACATTAATTTAAGGTTATCTAAAAAAAGTATCGATCCTTTTTATAAAAAGTATGGACACTTTCAATATAATAGGTAAACATATGAGTGTAATAGGTAGCCCTTATAATGTAATAGGTATCGTTTATATAATGTAATAGGTAATGGTTATATTTAACAGTGTCTATCCTTTTTATAAAAGTGTCCATACTTTTTTCACTGTGGAAAACATTAATTTAAGGTTATCTTTTGGTTGAGTTTTTAAGATATTAATTTAGTAATTATAGGCGTCTAATGATTTATTTTTTACGTTACGGTATATTATTATTAAATTTAAAATTGAAACATAAATTACATAAGTTTTAAAAAAAGTATCGATCCTTTTTATAAAAAGTATGGACACTTTCAATATAATAGGTAAACATATGATGTATAGGTAGCCCTTATATAATGTATAGTATCGTTTATATAATGTAATAGGTAATGGTTATTGTAAAGTGTCTATCCTTTTTATAAAAGTGTCCATACTTTTTCACTGTGGAAAACATTAATTTAAGGTTATCTTTTGAGTGAGTTTTAAGATATTAATTAGTAATTATAGGCGTCTAATGATTTATTTTTTACGTTACGGTATATATTATTATTAAATTTAAAATTCTAATAATATTTATAAAATATAAAACAATCAAATAATTTTTTGTGCAAATGAAATTATAATCATATTGTAGGTGGAAACATGAAACACTGTTAAAAAATTGAAACATAAATTACATAAGTTTTAAAAAAAGTATCGATCCTTTTTATAAAAAGTATGGACACTTTCAATATAATAGGTAAACATATGATGTAAGGTAGCCCTTATATAATGTAATAGGTATCGTTTTATAATGTAATAGGTAATGGTTATATTGTAAAGTGTCTATCCTTTTTATAAAGTGTCCATACTTTTTTCACTGTGGAAAACTTAATTTAAGGTTATCTTTTGAGTGAGTTTTAAGATATTAATTTAGTAATTATAGCGTCTAATGATTTATTTTTTACGTTACGGTATATATTATTAAATTTAAAATTCTAAATAATATTTTATAAAATAAAAACAATCAAATAATTTTTTTGTGCAAATGAAATTATTAAATCATATTGTAGGTGGAAAACATGAAACACTGTTAAAAAATTGAAACATAAATTACATAAGTTTTAAAAAAAGTACGATCCTTTTTATAAAAAGTATGGACACTTTCAATATAATAGGTAAACATATGATGTAATAGGTAGCCCTTATATAATGTAATAGGTATCGTTTATATAATGTAATAGGTATCTATCTCGCATGTGAGTACTTTATTCCAACCATGTGACAAGTGTGACAACTCCATCAACTCACAACTCAGCTTTGAACTCAATCATATTGTCTTTTAGCTTGATGGTTCATAAAGCATGTTACTTGAACAGTATGAATCAATTATGCAATTTTCATGTTCAATTTAACACTGCATTTCAAATTCATTTCATATGTAATTGGAGTTTGAATTTAAATTTCAATTGAGTTTGAATTTCAATATATATTTCGGCTCCACTAAATATTAGCCCAAGCCAATATGCATGTTATCATTGATTATTCCTAATTTCCATTGTTTTTTTTCCAACGTATAAACGCGAGGGAAATCCCGACCATTTTATTTTTGGTCAACTTTAAAGCGTCAGAAACGTTTCGGGCGTATGATCTGGGTGGTATACAAGAAATGTAACAAATAGCAACTAAAATCATAAGTTGAGTACCACCCAAATCATAAGTCTGAAATACTTCCGATGCTCATCAAAATCCAAAGCTCATTTGGTGCCAAGCAAAAGGAAATCAAAATCCAAATCTCATATGATGCCAAGCATAGGTAGTGGTTATATTGTAAAGTGTCTATCCTTTTTATAAAAGTGTCCATACTTTTTTCACTGTGGAAAACATTAATTTAAGGATATCTTTTGAGTGAGTTTTAAGATATTAATTTAGTAATTATAGGCGTCTAATGATTTATTTTTTACGTTACGGTATATTATTATTAAATTAAAATTCTAAATAATATTTTATAAAATATAAAAACAATCAAATAATTTTTTGTGCAAATGAAATTATTAAATCAATATTGTAGGTGGAAAACATGAAACACTGTTAAAGTATCGATCCTTTTTATAAAAAGTATGGACACTTTCAATATAATATAATGTAATAGGTAAATTTGCAATGCTATCGGTATAAATATACTGGTTTACTTATAAAATAGGTAAATATAAGCGCTACCTATTACATTATATAAGCGCTACCTAGTATGTTATTGTACTTTATAATATTTCCGGTTAAATAATATAACATAACCGGTCTAAATTTTAACCGGTCACTTGTTTAACCGGTCACGCCGTATATTAGCCGTTTTTTAGGCGCCGCACCGCAGAACGACCCCGTTAAACACGCGTTTAAGGTTGCGTAGAGCTTTTTTTTTTTTTTTGGATATAAAGAAGGATAAGGCCTTTAATATCTAGCTACAGAACGCTTGTAGGGAGGGCCAAATGTGTCTCCCTTTTAATAATTGACAAAATATGTGATTTTTTTTATAATTCATATATTTAGTTGATTTATTTTGATTTAATTAAATTTTTATATATTAAAATTTTAAAAATATAAATCTTAACTCAAACGGTACATGGACAATATAATAAAAGTTTGTTCATGATTTAAATAGTAATTATTTTGTTTGTTAAGTCGAGTTCATATTAGGACCTGAGACTTTAATTAAGCGATAACAAGTTGTTTACCACTTAAACCAACACTGGTTGGTTCCAAATTAACTATTTTAAGTCCATATAATTTATTCATATTATCATTGCACCATTTGGGTTAGACTAAAATTCTAAAATTTAAAAAAAAATATGTGACTAAATTCGATATATTAGAGTCCAAGGACTAAATTTAGAATTTATGCATAATTTAGAGATTATGAAAAACTTCACCAAAATTTTAAGGATGGAAGGCGCTTTCAGCCAACCAAGCCTATCCTTTAACTTTTTTCGGTCAAATTATGTCATTAGTAATTGTTCTTTGCACAACCTATAAATTTAGTCATTATATTTTAATTTTTTAAATTTTTATCTTATAGTTTTCGAAATTTAAAATTCCGGACTGACTCAAATATACAGGGACAAATGACAAAAATATTGGAACCTAAAACAAATGATTTTGAGAACAAAAATTAAATTTACAACTTAATCATAATATCAAAAAAACATATTATATAACTTAATAGATTTGACTCTTATTGTTTGAGTCACAAAACATAAGGACTAAATTGTTCGAAGATGAACAAATGAGTATTCAATCATCACTGAAATCTTTCTTAGTCGGGTTGCGTGTTCAGTCTTTAAAAAACAATCTTTGAACATATCTTTGTATTCGAATAACTAAGAACTAAAAGTAAAATATCTTTTAGCTTAGAAAAAAAAATTGTTGCCGAAACTTCAATATAGCATTTAACATGTGCAATATTTTCAATCGAGAGAAAAAAAACATGCATCATTTTATTCAATGGCCTGTGTGGTTTCTTAAAGCTTCTCGTCATACTTATCTATACCATCATGTCCCGTGTAGGGTAAACGGTCCCAAGTATAGGGTAATACTTTATTAAATCGGTTGATTATTAAAAGTTATAAAATTATCATTCGACTATAGAGTGTTGTTTTGTTGAGTCTATACACTATTAAAAGTTACAAATGATCACCCGATTAATCATTATGTTACAAACTCATCTTTTTCCGTTAAAAAATTATCGCTATTCTGAGCTGAACGTTAACCTGCTGACTGTGATATGATAAAATCTAATCCCAGAATCTCAAACAATTATCATATCTCAGCCATCATTAGACAACTACTAATTTTTTAACGAAAAAAACAAGTTTGGAACATGATAAATAGTTTTATGACTATTTTATAACGTTTAATAGTCTAGAGGCTTAATAAAATAACATTCTATAATCGGACTACCATTTTGTAACTTTTAATAGTCAAGAGACTTTATAAAGTAGTACAAGACTATTTGAGTTATTTTATTGTATGAGTAAATAAAATATTATTTTTATTTAATTATTGATATTTTATCTATTAATTGATTAATTGATGTCGATAAATATAAATTTTTGGCTATAAAAGGAGCTAACTCGTTTATAAGCAAAAAACACAAGTTTGTGCACGAGAAAAAAGAGTGAAGAGAACTATGGCACTTGTACCCACCAGCCTCAACCTCTGCCTGTACCGTCTTAACCCTAAGCAAACAATGATCCCTACCACAATTCGTCGTCAACAAGTTGTATCTGATCGGACAAGTTTCCATACCTGTTGTGCCGTGTCATCGAAGGCACAAGTTTCCGATCAGCCGAAAGAAGGAAGGCGTTTAGCGAATTATCAGCCAAGTATTTGGAACTACGATTTTCTTCAGTCCCTAAACAATGACCACGCCGTACGTTATTAGACCTCACACTGTCTCGTCACTCCCTTTGTTTCCTCGTTTACATAATCATGTCGTGTCGAATTCGCAGGACGTATTATACAGAGAGAGAGCATCGAAGTTAGAACAGGAAGTGAGGTTTCTTATTCATAATGAAGATGCAGAGCCGGTGAAGTTGCTCGAATTGATCGATGACATCCAACGGCTGGGGTTAGGGCATCATTTCGAGACGGATATCGATCGAGCCCTTCAGAAGTTCGTGTCTGAAGATGACGGTGGTGTTGCGACAGAGTGTAGTCTGCATGCTGCTGCTCTAAGATTCAGGCTCCTCAGGCAACATGGCTACTGGGTCTCTCAAGGTATAAGAGTTGATCATCATGCCAAAATCTTTAATCACATTCGGCTAAGCCGTTACGGATTTAGTCCCATGTACTCTAATTTGATCACATAATGCAGATGTCTTTAAAGCTTTCAAGGATAATAAGGGGAGTTTCAAGGAATGCCTTTACAAGGATGTCAAAGGAATGTTGAGTTTGTATGAAGCTTCACATCTCGCCTTTGAAGGAGAAGATCTAATGGAAGAAGCACTCCAGTTTTCTCGAATGCATCTCATGGATTTACATGGTATCAGAAATTTGGAAGAAGGTTTATTAGAACAGGTGATCCACGCACTCGAGCTCCCACTGCATCGACGAATGCTCAGGCTCGAAGCTCGGTGGTACATCGAGGCTTATGGCAGAAAGAATGTTACAAAACATAACCTACTTGAATTGGCCAAGCTGGATTTCAACATGGTGCAATCAACCCTTCAAGAAGATCTTCAAGAGATGACAAGGTGAGTAAATTCAGTTCTTCAAAGCATATTCTTTTCGCTTGCAGCTCTAACGGAGTCGCCTTTCGTAATGTTTGATTAGATGGTGGATCAGCATGGGGCTGACGAGCAAGTTGAATTTCGCAAGGGATAGGCTCATGGAATGCTTCTTTTGGTCTCTTGGAGTGGTTTCTGAACCCCAATTCAGGGATTGCAGAAAAAGTCTAACCAAAGTTGCCTCGTTGGTAACTATAATCGATGATGTTTACGATGTTTACGGAACTTTGGATGAACTCGAGTTGTTCACCGATGCTGTTCAAAGGTTTGAATCTTAATGTAATTCCGATCTTATTTGTCCCTTACTATTCAGTATTCTAATAACAAAATTTATTTCTGGACTTTCAGGTGGGATGTATGTGCAGGGAAAAATCTTCCAAAGTGTATGGAGCTATGCTTCCTTGCCCTTTACAACTCTGTTAATGAGATGGCATACGAAACTCTTAGAGATCACGGTGAAAACATCGCCCCGTACTTGGCAAAAGCGGTACGTAATCATTTTCTTAACCTATTGACAACGCACACAACCTATAAGCGCAACTGCTTGAATTTTTATTATTTTTCTTTCAGTGGGCTGATTTGTGCAAAGCATTCCTGCAAGAAGCAAAGTGGGCACACAGCAAATATGTTCCGACATTCGAAGACTATCTCGAAAATGCATGGATGTCTGTGTCTGGACATGCTTTTCTCGTCCACGCCTACTTCTTACAAAGCACAAACATAACCAGTGAGGCACTCGATTGCTTGGAACGTTACCACGATGTGCTTCGATGGCCATCGATGATTTTTCGACTCTGCAACGACTTGGGAACTTCGAAGTATGAACTCGAAAGAGGTGAAAGTGCAAACTCGATCGCATGCTATATGAAGGAAACTGGTTGCTCCGAGGCAGTGGCTCGACAACATGTAATTGATCTGATCGACGATTGCTGGAAAAAGATGAACAGGTTCCGGATCGATGGTTCACCATTTGCGAAAGAATTATTAGAAACATCGATTAATTTGGGTCGGATATCCCAATGCACATACCAGCATGGAGATGCACATGGATGTCCGGATAACCAATCTAAGAATAGAGTTCAATCGTTGATTGTTGACCCTATTTCAATAGACTAAAGAGCAATTTCATAAGATATGCATATTGAGCTTAATCAGCATATTGGATAATTAGGATCAGATAAAAGCTTAGATGATTGAGTAATTATGATTATATTATTGTTTTAGTATTTACTTATATGTTGATTATATATTTAGTGAATTTCTTTTTATAGAATATTTAGTGAGCTTTTTATTGTATTTGAAGGATACAATAATACTAGCTGGATATTAAATACATAAGAGATAAAATTTATGAGTGATTATGTGTACACTCTTAGAGGTGAAATAATATGTTAAGAATCAATCAAACATATTGTTAGAACAAAATCTATGAGGAAGTATGAATTTACTTCTTTAGAGTCGACTGATAATGAAGGTAAGTAGTTGAAAAACTTATTAACATGTATTTTACAGGGCGAAAAATCAATGGTTTTAATGATTATTGTTGAATAAATATTTTGATATAACAAATAAATAAATTGTAAAATTAATTTTTGGATTTAATTGAATTTATCAAAATTTCTCCAAAAATAATTCAAAGTCGAAATTAACTTGAAAAAATATGTTTTAAATATTTTCTAACTTAGTTGAACTTTTTTAAAAACATGTTCGACCGTTTTTCACGTTTTAAAGTCGAATTTCCAAAGATTTTTTTCTCAAATGATTGATCCCTTAGCAATAGGATCGATCCTTTAGACCAAAGGATCAATCCCTTGTAGAATGATCGATTCGTTGTATTCGAGTAAGTTTTGGATCGATCCCTTCAACAAAGGATTGATACCTAGAAGAAAAAGAACGATCCCTTCACCAAAAAGATCGATCCTTCGATGAAAAGGATCTATCCCTTCCCTTAAAAGATCGATCCTTTTCTTGCAACGGTCGAAATATTTGAAAAGGGATCGATCCCTTTCATCCAATGATCGATCCCATTAAATGTTATTTTTAGTTATAGATAACGACTATAATGGCTCTAAACGGCTCTAAACGGCTAGAATTCATAGAGAACGTATAACTTGTAGGTCAAAGCATCTCAAGGTCAATAAAAACTATATTGAACAAATATATCAATATTAAAGAAGTCATTTGTGCTTAATTTTTAATCTATTCTTTGTAACACATTTGTGACCTTGATTGTTTAATTTGTTCAAGTTTGATTTGGGTGAATGCTTATTGTTTGCTAACACCAATACGTCGGAATATCAAACGGTGATATTCCTTGTTAGCAAAAAATTTTCAATGGTAACAATATACATATTTATTAGGACATGAGTAGAGGTGGGTATATGGGCTACCCGCCTGTTTAGCCCGCGGGTTTTGACGGTGCGGGCTTAAACGTAACGGTTTAAAAAGCCTGCAATCATAAACGGTTTTGAATTCTAAGGCCCGCGGCCCGTTAAATAAAAATAATTTTAAATGCTTTAAATGTAATAAAAAATAATGTTCTAACTTGCTACACCTTTAAAAATGATCCAGTAACTTGAAAAGGAAGGTAGTACCATTAAAATAATAAATTTTATTTAAATTTTATTTTAAATAGCCTGAAATTATTATAAAATAATTTTTTTTAATTTTTTTAATCATTAATATATATATATATATATAACGATATATTTACTTAAACTCAAATTTAAAAAAAATAATATTCACTTATATCACCAAATTGAAAAACAAATAAATTATAAAACAATAACCAAATTATACTTTTATAAAACTCGATTATTCAATGTTATAATATGAAGACACAGAAGTATCTGCAATCAGAAATTCAAATAGAAAAATTCAACAAAGTCAAACATTATACAAATCTAACAAATTTTCTTTTGTAAAAGCCTTTAAAAGTTGAAAAGTATGTTTTCAATTTTTTTTACTTTTCTTTCTTATTTTTAATCCAAATATTATGTGTCATGTGATATATTATTAGAATATCATGTGACTTTTTATAATTAAAGAACGAAATGGATAACATACTTCATGAAAAAAATAAAGGTCAAAATTAAATTAAAAAATCTTTAAATACCAAAGTGATAATGATGTAAATTTTATAAGACTAAAAATACTATATAAGTCTTTTAATTTTTATTTTTTAAAATGAAGAATAATTTAATACATTGTAAATGAAAAAAATATCAAGCAGCGGTAGAATTATGACAAATGCCCTAATAAATTTAAGAACTACAATGGTCATAAGTAACATCATATTTATAGGTAATTTATTTTCTTTTTCTATAAAATTCTTTAAGTTTATTTTCTCTAAAATTTTATAAATTTTAAATTAAGCGGACTATTACGGGCTACCCGCGGGTTTAACGGTCTGGGATAAAAAGCCCGCAATTTAATCGAGTTTCAATTTTTGAGGCTCAAAACCCGCACGAGCCGCGAGTTAAACGGGTAGCGCGCGGGTTTTACCCCATATACCTACCTAGGTAACCCAATGATTGCAAAATGATTAAATAATTGTGGTAGAAAGCACCTGAACATTTGTGGGTAGAATTGGGAAAATAATAAAGGCGTGTGGATTATTGAGCTCAATAGGCACTCAGAATTTTACTTTAGGATATACGAAAAATGCTACAGTATTCACGGAATTCGTCATATTGACATGACGAGTTTCATGAGATATATTATTTTAATGGATCAGTCACGTGGGTCCTACTGCCCAAAATATATTTAATATATCCTACAGGACTTGTAATGCTCGTGTGACGAGTTTCAATAAAAAAAATAGTTTTTTAGAAATTTTTAAAAGCATTGTAAAAATATATATTATTTTAATGCTAAATGAACTCGTCACGTCGGTGTGACGAGTTCCAACGGGTATAATTTTGAATTTGTTAAATGTTGGATTGACCGTTGTTGAACGGTCAAGTTTTTTTTAAAAATCAATGGATGTGACGAGTTCTAACGGCTATTTTCAATTTGAAAAAAAACAAGTCATTTATAACCATTGGGTAGAGTAGTATAAATAGATGTTTGGGTTGGGTTGATTTCTCACTTGGAATCAAATATTCTATTGAGAGTAAAAACTTTTGTGTTGAAGATTTCGTGTTGAAATGACCTCAAGAGAATAAATGTTACGTCTTGATAATATTCATATTTCGTCGATCGAGTTGACTATGGTAAATTTAATTTGTTTGATTTCATTTTAGTTTTGACAAAATTATAGTATTAATAATAATTATATATGTAATTGTATTAAATAATTTATTTTCAAATTATAACAAGAAGAACGAGACATTCCTCATCGAGGAATGACGAATGAAGAGCCATATCAGCGGATAATGATATGTCTTTCACAATCTAGATCATGAAGCGACGTTTCTTCGTGAATTTAAAATGATGTCAGCACTGATATTGGTGTTGATTGAGCGTTGGAGGCCTGAAATGCATACGTTTCATTTTCTTTGTGGTGAAGTGATGATAACATTGGAAGATGTCTCGTATCAACATGGTGTTCCTATTAATAGTATGACATTGGTGCTTTATAACAATTATGCGCAAGTTGTTGTTATTTCAAATTTATTGGGAAATGAGGCTCTAGCCGATGTCATTGATGGGAGACGGATACATATGACGTGGTTGGAAAGAGAATTTAGAGTAGATAGACAATCAACGGAGCAAGAGATGATATATGCAGCTCGAGCATATCTTATGACGTTGATTGGAGGGATCTTGCTACTGAATAAATCGGGCAATTTGGTGCATACCAAATATCTTCAGGTATTAGAGGATTTCGCTATATGTAGCCAATATATAGTTGGGATTATACAATTTTTACTTTTTTTGTATTGTGAACTCTACAAGGCGACCATAATTGTTAGAAGAAAAAAAGCGGATGTAGCTGGTTGTTTATTTTTGCTACAATCATGGGCATGTTATCCTCTCCCGTTTTTTAAGCCTATTACATTCGCTCTTATAGAGTTTCCTCTCACCGCAAGGAAAATTCCTATATTTGAAGTTTTGATATTTTATAATATTTACTTAAATATTTTGAAAATAACAATAAATAATATGATTTTTAGATGGTGACACCGAATAACCGATACAAAGTTGTCGGGAGCAACCAAAGTAGATATCTGGATAAGAATTAATATTACCGGTAGACATGCGGTAAATTTTTATATTTTTTACATTAACTTTGAAATTGTAATATTAATTGTTTAATTATACTAACATAATACTTTTGACAGTTTAATTGGATGACTTATTATGAGTCGGATATCCAACGGTGTCTACAGCCAATGTTCTTTGAAGGAGTGGAGACATGGTGTACCGTAACACCATTGCTTCATTTCGCAATTGTTAATATCCATGTCGTCGATAGAGTTTTGCGACAATTTAGGTTTCATCAACCGATAGAAATGTCTATATTTAATATGGACGATTTGCATAAAATAGATGAGCATGGGAAACATAGGGAAGATTGAACGAAGAAGCATGATATATATTCATACAGCAATGGCAAAATAGACATTTACATTTTCCTAATTGTTCCGAGGTACAACCCAAAGATTTTGATTTCAATGTTTCTCCCTACCTCCAAAATTATGAAGCAAATGGAAAACCATACTTGACAACACTGGAGGATCGGTCCGAATGGGAAATAATGAAGGCAAAATATGCTAAAAAATCATCATCTTCATCAACATCTTCATCTTATGCTTCCACCAATTATTATCCATCGCAAGAAAGTTATGGTGGATATGGTGCATATCAACCATCGATGGAGAGTAGAGCAGCGTGTGAAGGAAGTTCATGGGATCAAGTGCCACATTCACAACAATTTTCTTCAGAACCGGAAGAAAGAGGTCCATGAGATCATCTTGTTCAATACGGATAATCTCAATCTCATGGCAATTTCGGTGTGCAATTTGAGGCGATGACGTCAAATATCTTGAATATGGTTATCATCCTCTTCATCATCATCAAGATGGACAGAACAATATCTTCATCATCTTTGCTAAATTCAGCAAGACTTTCACCGAACCGTCCAACAAGGTTATCATCACCATCACTTGCATGTGGTTCAGAGGGGCCTGCTTCTTCTGTTTTTCTAGTTGGTACTAATGAGGTCGGAATATCAATTGTATTCATGGTTTCGACGTACATCTCCACCATATTATTATTTGATGATTGATGAAGTCCAACCATAACAACAACATCGTCATCATCATCAAGCTGAACTTTTCCATATATAATTGGATTTGAGAAGATCAGGTGCCGATAACTTAAACATGAAACAGAAACCCCAAGTTTTCTGTCAATATTTTACTTCATTTGGCGATGAGATACATCTACAGGGAATATCATATTGATGGGTATGTGTGACTTAAACACAACACCAACACCAGTTTGTAGAATTTCGTCATTATAATGGACAACTGTAAAGAATTTATTGCTCATTGTTTGAAATGTATTTGGTTAGAATAAAAGAGTTTGTTGTGTAAGAGACTGAAGATGAAAGAAATGTGTTGTGTAAGATATGAAAATAGTGTTTTATTGCTCATTAAAATTATTGTTTGAAATAATATATATTTTGTATACAATGTTTTTAAAATTTTTAAAATAAAATTATTTTTTATTGAGACTCGTCACGCAGACATGACGAGTCTTATAAAATATATTAAATAAATTCAGATTGTGAGTCTCACGTGACACGAACTAGTAAAAAATATATCTTATAAAACTCATCACACTTACAATTTGAATTCCATGTACACTATAGCATTTATAGTAAATCTTAAAATAAATTTGTTATTACCTATTGGACTAAATAATCCACACATCACATGTTATATCCGTATAGTCAGTGACACTGACAACCGTCGGTGCAGTGTGAAACATGTGATGAATTTCGATTCCCGTACTACATTCAAATAATCAACAAGTACGTTTTTAAAGGTGGGACACAGCCTCATAAAAGCAAAAATAAATAAACAAAAAGATGAAAATGGCGTAGGCAAATGTACAAAAGAAATAGGGATAAAACACTGGTCTGTAAGACCATTATGGGATCCTTTCTCAGCGGCGGAAGTCAGGACTAGTGGGGCCATGACCCAAAAATGTAAAAAATTATAATATACTCTTAAAATTTTAAAAAAAATTAATTTGTCCCCTCAATTTTTTTTAAAAAAATTAGATTAAATTTAAAATTTTTAATGTTATTGATTAAACTCTTCCTCATAATTTTTAAAAAATTTCATTAAACTTCTCAAAATTTCAAGAATTTTTAGTTAGGCCCTAATTTATTTGGAAAGAAATGCAAACTAAACACTTTAAAATTAAAAAAAAAATTAAACCTTTAAACTTTTTTAAAGTTTTAAATTAGTCCGCAAACTCAAGTTCGGCCATTGTCCTTTCTGCCTTATCAAATCCATTAACATTTTTGCTATTGTTCCCTATAATTGCGTAGTGTAGCCATTGGACATAAAAGTTACGCATATGCTTCAAGTCCAACGACGCTAACTGTTGCTAAACCCACAAGGCCCAAAAACAAAGGTTCAACACCATTTCTAATATAATGTCAAAATTAGACTTCAACGTTTATCAAAATAATTATTTTATTCTTTATTTTTATAGCATTTAGACCCCCAACATTTTATTTTAGAACAAAAAGGCTCCTAACATTTGATGAATAGTCAATTTAACTCATAATCTTTTTTTTGGAGCATTTTGACTCATAATATTTTATTTTAGGGTAAAAAAATCTATTTTAGAGCATTAACCACTTATTAAATGATCTCTATTCATTAATGGGTCTTTTTAACCTAAAATGAAACATTGAAAGACAAAATATTTCAAAAAAAAAAAAAGAATAGACACCAAATTAACCATTTTAATAAATGTTAGAGATTAATTTTGACATTATAACTTCCATTTCCTATCGTTATGTTGATTTCATTTTAATCACTTACATTATCAATTTGTCATGAAATAGTCACTCAATTGGACTACCGTTGCATTGACGATGTGCCACGTCGTCAAAATTTGAAATCAAAGCAATAAAAAAATCCAATTCATTTCATTGTTTTGTAATCCGGATTTAAAAACAATGGGTTAAACGGTACTAGAATTTTGAAAAACTTGAGCAAAAGAGACTTTTACTTCCAGCTGAAATAGAGGCTAAAAATGGTACGTTAGGTCACATGGCCTCTAGGTTAATTTTCTCAACAAAACAATTGGGTGAATTGGTGATATTAATCTACATACCGGGAGACGTATGTGACGTTTATCATTTTGATTATGATGGTCCTTTATTCATTTTGATTATCATGGCCAATGTCAATTTAAGATGGTATGTGACGTTTAAGCAAAATAATACTCCTTCAAAGTTCAAACAAACTCCAAATAGTTCTGAGAAATTTCCCTTTCATGAACACATTCTGGGTAGGGATCTTGCAATTCTACGATTCGACACTTTCGGTTCCTTGATTTTTGCCATTTGAGTCTGCATTTTCCTACAAACTTTCTCCAATTCCATCACCCTCCATTGCATCTTTTGTACTTGTGCTTCAAGCTTTCCATTGTAAACTTCTTGTTCAATGCCTTCATCTTCCTTTGCCCTGCCTCCGACCCCAGTCAACCTATACGGCGAATCCGTGTAACTATTAGCGATGTTAATGCCCCGGTGTAAGTTCATAAGCTTCGACTGTTGCGAAACGAGAGCTTGGACGTGTGTTCTCGATGGAAATTTCATGTTTCGAGAAAGGTGTAGGCAAGCCTCACTGGAGAGTTTATCATAGTTCAATGCACAACATATCTTGATTTTTTCTTCTTCAGACAACTCTGCATGAACCTATTGGAAACCATATGTACACTGAAAATTATTATGGAGTGATGTATGATAATATATAAATGAGATCAAAGTCTACCTCCAGATAAACGTCCATGGCATGGTACAGTTCATCCGACAAATCCCGAGTAGAATCCGGTAAGGCCGTTACCAAAGCTACAAACTTCGACGATTTTAGGCAACGATCCGGAGCTACTTCTGTTATGTACATATCAATCAAGCTAGAAACCTTCTTCATTCGTATCGGAGATGATTCCGAGTCTCCTCTGCGTAGAAATGCCTTGAGTAACCTAAGAACAAGGTTCACATCATACCGATAACTTCTTCCGCACGGAGACGGAATTAGCAGATCATCTAATGTTGCTCGGTCCAATTGAGAACCTATCATACTCTCCAGCTTGTTCCTGCAGCTTCTCCTAGTGTTCGAACACCGCACCGGACGGATCACGCCGAACAAACTCTTGCACGAAATCGAACTCCGATCGAGAGTGTAAAACATATCAATCACAATTTCGAGAATTCTCCTTTTCTCATCCGATGAAACAGTATAAAACTTCGACTTCCAGTAATAGAATAGGAACCGACTGATTATCACATGATTGTGCTTCCGAGACACCATCGATTTCACCAATATTTCAATCGATTTCGTACTCAAAACAGAAAGGTCTTCAAACCACCAAGTTGCTCTAGAGAAGATCTGTTTCGAACTCGAAGTACGTCGACTATCGACCGAAGTCTGACACCCGGAGCTATCCGTGGAAGAAACAGATCCACAAGGAGTTGCTTCACCGGACATGGCCATCCTCACAACAAGTGTATCCAAGCATTTTTCGAGTATACCGGAAGACAGTGCAGCCTGCGGTGAATCTTGGTAATGTTTCAAAGCAACCAGAAGATCAGACCATGACCAGACACCGAGGTCATCGAGGGAATTCTGGGTTCTCTGTAATAGATTACAATTCCCTGGTACAAAGTTCGTCTCCATGAATCGAGCAACAAAATACATACCCGTCTCCAATATCAGCGAATACTTATTTCTCCGAGAAACAATGCAAAGGGAAAGAAAAATACAAAAATAAGAATGAAGATTGCAGAGAAACAAGCATATGTGTTGATAAGGACAGAAAAAGAGATATATAGGCAATTATAGAATAATACGAGGGAGGGACTATGAATATAAATATGTCAACCATAATTTCAGCGTAGGTATCAATATCAGTCAAATACATTTTCATCGTATTTCCATGAATAATCCTTTTATTTTAGTTCAAATAATCTAAAATTATAAATAATTAAGGATGTCGTTTAGGAAATAATTGAAATTGAAGATACAAAAGAATTCAATCAAATCACTCTAATGGGGCGAAACAAATTATTCTTTTACTCCAACTAAATCACTTTCGGTGGAGAATCTATAAATTCTTATGTAAATCCCAATTAAATCTTAGGTATGCATTGGTCTTAGACCGGGAATCCACCTCTGACCTAAGCTTTTTTGTACAAAAAAAAATTGGTTTAACACTGTGACAATAATTTTTTTTTATAAATCTAGAGTAGGTATAAGGCAGTATTTGTTTAAAGATAACTCTAAATCATTTAATATTGAGCACTCATGTACCTGATATTTTTTGTTTTTGAACTCGAGATCTCAAAGAATAATAACAATTTCTTTACCAGGGGCTTGGTTCGTATCTATCACAATAAAATTTTATCTTTATTTAACTTGAATTTTATAAATACTTTTATCTATTTTAAACTTAATTTGAAATGCTTAACTCTAATTAATCTAAATAAATATAATTTGCGATTTTTTTCATTTTTTATTAAAACAGAAAAATAATCAAATTATGTTTTCATATCTAATTATAATTGTCGATAAAAATACTCTGATGGATCTTTGAAAAAATAGTTGAAATGAGAGAGTGAAAACATTATTTTTTTTGAAGTAGGGTGGAGACTACAGTGAATGTGGGAAGTCGGTCAAAGCATATTACGTATTTCGAAAGACGATCGGAGCACCCGATATCTTCAACTCTTTATCTCCGATAACATCTGATGTTCTCATCTCTGACGTCTTTGGAAACCAACCATGATATCATAGTCAAGTATAACCGCATTAGAGAGAGAGAGGCCAATCATATTACTTCGATGATGAAATGCTTAAAGACATCAGATGTTTTAACTATCTTTTAAAAGACGTCAGATGTTCTAACCGATTTTTTGTATTCACTGTTACATTCATCTTATTAAAAAAATAAATTCTGAATCGCTATAATAAAGAAATTTATTTTTTTCAGTGCCCATCCAAGAAAATTTGCCTATAATTGTCATTTGTTATAAAAATATTATTTCAAAATGTAATTATATAATATGATTTTTCAACTGTTTCCATTTGCTGGAATTCCTTCCCTTTGGTGCCCTTTTTTTCGCTGCAAGTATCTAGACCCGTCCAATTGGGTTGATTAATAAATCCATTAAATTGAAAATAATTTTGGTTTGATTTGGGATTTTTTATGAACGAAAAATTATATCATATTATTTTTAATTAAGCAAAGATTATTACAAAATAGTATATATTCTGAATACTTTAAACCACTTGATAATAAACATTCAATCACCCTACTATAGTCGTTGATACTCGAACCCATATCCTTTAAGAAAAAACAACGATTCCTTGAACTGCTGACATAGCCGTCTCGACCATTATCGGGGCCCAAAACGAAAATTAAAAAAAAAGTCCTAAGCAATGGAGGCATAAGTAATTAATTTTAAAACTAAACGATAAAAAAACAATGTGCATAACTTTTACATAATAATAAGTTCATCAAAATTAAAAATCAGATATGATTTTAATTAGTAAGATAAAATTGGTTGGGATCTTTGTGAATTTAATCAGTGAGATTAAATAGAAAAAAAAGTTAAAGTTAATGAAGATTTGAAGAAGTTTAAGAGTTAATTTGGGAAGAAGAAACTGAGAACTAAATGAAGTGAGAGAAAAATGTTGAAGATGGGGTGGAGTCGTGGACTTTAAATTGGTTGACATTTATTTTTTTTTATTTTAAATTTTAAATTTTTTAAAATGTGGGGTCCCTCAAAGAGAGAATTCAGAGCCATCGCTCCGGCTGCTCTTGTTAGGAATCAAGTTTGACCACTGAAGTAAATTGGTTTGTACTTGTATTATATACATATTTTTTAAGGTTTTAGTTAACATAATGGATTCATATCTCTTGGATTCGCTATCGCTAATCATAATTGAGTATGATTGCAAATTGTATGTATTTGAAGTTGGAATTTGAATATGATAATTCATTCATTAAATTGGATTTATTTTTAGGATGGTTTTTAAATTGAGATCTTTGGTTTATCTTTCATCACGGGCATTAAGGCGTTGACGCACTACACTGAATTATTAATTATAAATCTAATAAAATAATACCATAAAACAATTTAGGAAATAATCATAGTTGGAAACTTAAGCTTTTAACACAGGGTACTACTAAATGTACCAATTCAAACAAATTTTTTAGCACCATTTACTAAACTTACCAATAAAATCATTATTTATAAAGCACCATTATGTTTTGTCTCCTTCACGTGGGACCTGGATTTGTCTCCTTTCTCTCATTCTTTTTTTTTCTTTACAAAATAAAATTAATTATTTTCATTTAACGCGAAAAGAATGAGATTTGCATTGAAACCCGGTTTGTCAGTTTAAGTACTCCTAAAATCGGATACTCGAAACATTCGGATCGAGATATAGACCGAGAAATCACCGACCCAGATTTGCACACCCCTAGCGCACATTGGTTTGAGTTTGGCGTGCGAAATTCCATCTCATCCATTGATTTTTGGCCATCGTGTTATTAACTGTTAGATGATCTGACTAATGTTAGAATATAAAAGTGACATTGCATTTGCATGAGAAGACTCATATATATGTTAGTCGTAAGGAAGAGTTAAATATTAATAACAAAAAATATATTCGATATTTTTTATATATTTTGAGTTAAATCAGAAAAAATTATGAATTGAGAATATATATATTAAAATAATAAAAAATAGTAGGTTCTGATTTGTTTAAATTATTTAAATTTCAAATTAATTTTATTTTTTTGTTACATATTAATTTTTTTTATTTAAATTTTCAGGTATCACAAATATTTTTAATCGAACAAATTTATAGCAGACTTTTGATCGAATAACACCCAACCCGTGCGTCACACATTAACATAACTCATTTGCCTATTTTTATTTCTTTACCACCCATACACCCTACACATTTATTAAAAAAAATAAAGAAATAAAAATGATGCCCTCTCTCTCCTTTTCTATTATTCTATTAAAAGCATTGGTATGTTTAGTAAAACATTTGGTACATTTAGACACACCCTTAACACATTATCACGGTTTAAAAATTTACTTTGTATTTATTTTTAGGATAAATTATATTGATGTTTTTTTTTATTTTCTATATCTTATTTTGATCATTGGTTTTGAAAAAAATATGTTTTAATCAGTTATACTATTAGTTCATTATATTTTAGTCACCGTGTCTTTAATTTCAACTTATTTAATAATGTGATACGTTAATAAAAAAAATTAATTAATAACAATAATCTCTAAACTTTTAAATCTATATTTTTCACTATCAACAAACAAAAAAAATCTCAAATCTATTTTTTTTAAATCTATAATCCTAATCATGACGGAACTACTTTTGTCCCGGGCGCCACTGACCTCTATTTTTTATTAAAACAATATATGAGAAAATATTAAATTAGCGCTCCAATTTCTAATTTATTTTGATTTTGCTCCCCTTATTCTCTATTGTTAATTATATATTGTCTCATTACTTTTATGATTAATTATACTTTGCCCCCCTTAAATTGGAATCATGGCTCTGTCTTTGATCTTAACCTTCAGACTTGCTACTATGGTCGTTGTCTCCGGTTATTGTTTGACCTCCATGTGTTTTACCAACATATAGTGATCACCCCAAGGCCACCCATCGTGCATGTTGCGCTCCAACTACCCGTCAATGTCAGCCTCCAACCTTTATCCTTGGTCCTCTGCTCGCTTTCTACCCGGCGTCTCCGGCACCCCTATCTCATTGTCAATCGGATCTCTATCCTTCAACTGCAGCAAACCTTCGTCCTATTTCACCCGACTAGCATCCCCTCCTTTGGGTTATTGTTTGTACTCATGCTGCTACGCTAGTGGTCTTATTTGATGTTGTAAGCACCAATTTTTTACCCAAATTAAAATAATAATAAAATAAAAAATAAAGGGACAAAAATCCCTTAGTACCCGGGACATTCAATGCCCCGGTTGTTGCTCCTACCCCACTCACTGTGCCACCAGCCCTGCCTGACACATACGCCACCAACCCTGTCATCCAACACTCCATCAACAACAAGCAATATCAATAATTTTTTTTATTTTTATTTTACGTGTAATGGGTATAAAAACCCCATAACTAAGCATTGTAGAGGGCTCCCTCCATTTTTCGAAAGCAATACCAAGCAAACATTTTGTTATTTTTCTACTCATTCCAATTAACAAAAACAAGAAAAAAAATGAAAATAAGAAAAGAATAGGAGTATACCTTGCGGTCGGACCTTTCACCGGCGTTAGGGACCTCCTGTGGCTAATCCGAACGGTGGGGAGGAGTGTACCAACGAGGTGAGCAACATATATTGAAACAGAGGCGATCCAACGGCGGACAGCGGCGGTAGAAGCATCGAAAGACAAAATGCTCTTGGCCCTTTTCGTGAAGTTGGGGACAGAATCTCACAAAACTAAGCCCTCGATTCGACCTCACGGTGCCAAGACGAGCAAACCCCTGAAATTTGGTGGCCATTGATCGTCAGAGACGACGGCGACCGACGGTCGACGCGACTGTCAGCGACGACACTCATCGCCAGTTTTCGAGAAAATAGAGAGAGTGCAGAGAGTTTGAGTGATGAGATAGGGTTAAGAGAAAAATGAGGAAAAAAAAAGAAAAGGGGTTTATAAATAATCGAGACAACGTCGTTTTGGGG